TTTGCTGTAGGGTAAGGCTTTTAGCCGATTCTATATACGCCGTGTATTGTTATGCTGGATACTGTTTTTGGCAGTAGCTTATCTGAAAGGGGCTTGACCAAGTTAAGCTCATGCTCGAATCTGGTCTTGGGATCGGGGGCCAGCGACTCTTCCACTTTGTGGAGAATGAGCGACCTGTCAGAGAGATCAGGCCTGCTTGCCGTGGCTTTCTTGCTCTGCGGCGTAAATATCTTTTTGTCCTTCGTGGGCAGTGTGGCCGATGTATCGTCCTTATCTCGCTTTTTGAGAGAGACTACATTATGCCATTCTTTGGGGTCCTCCTTGCTAGTCGTAGTCGATTTTATCTGCCTGCTATCCACCGGTGTGGATGAGGCTTGATCTACCGGTCCCTGGGTGACTTGAGTTGTATGTTTTCGCCCCCTGGCACGCCTCTTCTTCGTGGCAGTCTTTCCGTTACTGTCAGTGGAGGGCCTATCCAGTATCGTGAGGGCAGCATGGATGTCTAGAATACGGTTGGTGCTCTTCTGTGCTGAAAGGCACTCATTCATTGACAAAGACGCATCAGGAACATGTACTGTTCTGTCGACGACGCTAGTCACGTCTTTTGTGTCCGAGTGGTAGTCGGTCTTCTCCTGTGATGGAAGACCCTTGCAGTCCATAAGCTTTGGAGCCCCATTGAGGGTGGCGATGGCTTCTGCTATACGGAATTTAGTTGTACTACAACGTTCATTGCACAACCAGTTTACCAGAGGTTTGCAGCAGCGTTTGTGTGCTGCAGGCTATGAAGCCAACTCTTTCAGTTATCACACCGCATTCTCGCATCCGCTGGAAACTGGGAAATAACCCTTCCTCAGAGTTTCTTTTTGATTGGCATGCTTTTTAGAGCGAATTGGGGAAAAAGGATTTAAATGGGACTTTATATATATAACCTTTAAAAATCAGTGATAAAAGCCAATGAGTGCACAAAATTGGATATATATAACTATTAGGTTATAAGAACACAACTTCCTATAATTTAATAGACACAAAACTGCACCGGTGGCACAGCGGTTAGGACTTTCACCGACCATTCACATGGTCTGTGGTTCGATCCGTGGCCGATGCACACCCGATATCACTGGTCGGCCTGCAAAATTTGGGCTACCGCTATCACATGCTGAAAATTCCATACTTGTACCGAAAATACTGTGTGGAATCGAGCTACAATCAAAAAGAAACTTCGATCAGGATAAACTGATTTTGGAGCGTATAACGCGACAAAAGCCAAAACTAGTATTAGCACTCACAACGTGAGAAATCGCACCGTGGCACACACTAATATCCAATGTCACAACGATGTCACCCTAAATAGTACAAGTGGTAATAGTCAGAACTCGGCTACCAACAACTCAGGGTCTTCAGAGTATGGCACACAAACAAATTTCGACCGGATATATGGTACAAGTCTGCTGGGAACTAACCCAAAATGCAGTACACACGAAACCCACACAAGGACACAACTAGCATCAAACAATAGGTGGAATAATAAGCCATGGTCATCACAAGGATCCAATCATTTTTTATCCCCCGCGTCCCTGTCAGCGTTGAAAAAACAGCTGGTAGGGATGTTAACACTCCTAAACCACTAGTGCTGGCTCCCTCCTTGCATGAAAACAGGAACGGTCTAGTGCACCCGTATCCATTGGACACACTTGACACTTGCACAAGTATAGGCCAAATAAAGAACCCTACCCACTTCTGTAACCTAACTAAAAATAAAAGTTCCTTAGTCTATAGCAAATCCAGTACTCCAACTCCTAATTCTCCACCGAAAACAGCACACAACAACTCGATAGACATAGGTGAGCATGATGCTGAAACTCCTCTTAACATAGGATCGTCATGTCCAGCAGAACTACTGGGTGCTGAACCATATTCGGGGCTGACTAACGAACTTAAATACTTCAAATGCTACTTCAACTCTCATCTTTACGTAATCCTCATAAATGCTAGATCTGTTCTAAATAAATTGCCGATGCTCAGAGCACTCACAGTAATATACAAACCCCCTGTAATTGTCATCACTGAATCTTGGTGTCATTCGGACATCCTGGATGATGAAATAAGCTTAGATAACTACACACACTTTCGGTGTGACAGGGAAGGTGGTAAGGGAGGGGGTTGTCTCATGTACTTTCTGAATGAACTTACTGTATCACAGCTAGAAAGTAGTACACTTAACATGCCTGAGACTCTATGGGTTAATGTACACTTAAATAACGTAACAGCATTAATTGGATGCTCCTACAGAGCACCTGGCACCTTTAGTAATTACGAGACCCAACTTATTAATACTCTGGAGCAATTAACCGACTTACAATACGATCATAAGATCCTATGTGGGGACTTTAACTTACCTGAAATCAACTGGGATATACCCACAGGTCCAACTAAATTTGATAAGTTCTTAGACACACTGGATATACTTGGCTGGAAACAAACTGTCACTACTCCCACAAGAGGTAACAACGTACTAGACTTAATCTTCTGCCACAATATAAGCCCCCTTTCAACGCTAGTAGGTTCTGAGTTCCCAGGGAGCGACCACAAAACAGTAATGTGTGCACTGCCAATTCCGCTGAGTAGCAATGCATCTCATACCTCCACTTCACAACAAGTAATATATAGGAACTATAGTAAGGCAAACTGGGCCTTAGTTGAATCGATGCTAAGATCCTCCAAATGGGATGAATACTTCACTACTGATGACCTATCGAGAGCCCTAACCATCTTCTACCATAACTCAAACATATGCTTAGATGCTGTCATTCCACTCCAAACACTAAAGGTTTCCCCACACAGAAAGTCATTCATAAAACCAAAGGATCGTAAGAAACTGAAGAAACTCTCAACAAGTTACTTCAAACACCACGACTTTGGCACTCTAGGTCTAATACTTAACACCCTTAGCTCCATCACACAAGCTCAAGATTTCCGTATGAGAAAGGAAGAACGCATCGCAGTAGCCAGTCCTGCTAGAGTGTATGCACTCACAGAAATCTTAAGGAAGCGAATGAATCGCAAAAATCACAGCATTTCTCTCCTCATAGACAAAGGCAGGCTATGCACTAACTCTGCAGACATATGTGAACTATTCAACAAAACGTTTGCAGGTAACTACCTTAAGCCCTCAGTCCAGCTACTCGATATACACCCTATTACTAAAATGGCACAAACTCCAACTCCACTCACACCAAACCAAATTAGCACTGTTCAATTCACTTACGCTGACATTAACCAAACTATAAGAACCCTCAAAAGTTCAAAAGGTTTCGGTACCGACGGTATATCATCTTACTTCTATAAATATGGTGGCCCTGACATTCCTCTACTGCTGCTTAAAATATTCACAATGTCCCTAGAAACCCAAACTTACCCTGACATATGGAAGACAACATTCATTATGCCTAAACACAAATCTGGCTCGAAAACTGAAGTCAGTAACTACCGGCCGATCAATATCACACCTATAGCATCTAGAATCATGGAGAGACTAGTCAAAGATAACTTAATCAAACATATGCTTAGCTGCAACATCATAAGTCCGAACCAACATGGATTCCTGAAATCCAGATCATGTTTAACATGTCACCTAGACTTCTTCAATTTTGTAACCAGCAGTCGTGACAGACGGCAACTAGTACTTGTCATCTACTTTGACATTTCTAAGGCATTTGACCGTGTTGACCATTTACTGCTAACAAATAAACTGAACTCCTTAGGAATACGTGACCCATTATTAGGATGGCTTAAATCATTCCTTAACAATAGGTCCCAAATAGTTAAACTCGGGTCTGCAACCTCCAAACCTAGCCCTATCACTTCTGGTGTAGTACAAGGTAGTGTCATTGGACCCCTCCTATTTACACTATACATCAATGACATATGCGCTTGCTTCACGCACGGGAAACCATTCATCTTTGCAGATGACCTAAAAGTAGCTTATACATTCCAACGTGATGACTTAGGGAACTTCGAGAATGTAGTACAGAAGGAATTAGATAAAATGGCTGCTTGGTCGTCCCTATGGAATCTCCAATTTAATCTGAACAAATGTGGCTGGATCTGCTTCGGTGCACCCTCAACTGACCTGAAATTAACGCTCCAATCTGCTAACCTAACAAGACTCCGAAGTGTCGTTGACCTAGGCTTGAGGTACTCTAGTGACTTGACATTCTCAGAGCAAGTAGCATCACAGACTAGAAAATCGAGGATGCTCTTAGGATGCATACTCAGGAACTTTCACGACAATGAAGCCAAGCTAATTCTGTACAAAACATGTGTCAGACCACTACTAGAATACTGTCCATTTATTATAAGCAGCACTCGCACACGCGACAAGCTAAGGATGGAAAGTATCCAACGATATTTTACCTCAAAACTGCTTGGCTACGATTGTAAGAAAGACTACATCTCACGGTGCATGTCAATGAAGTTGAAGATTGAACGATCAATTCTTGGTTGTTTGCTTAAAATCAACTTCCCCAATTTTCGCGGAGGCATCAATACGACAGTCATCGTCTCATCGGTCGCTGTTCAGAAAGAAGAGTGAAACATCGTCAGAAGTAATCTTATGATTTATTATTGTAATATTTGTTTTCAGACCTTAGTTCGCTTATTCCTTTTATATGTTGGTGTAACAATAAACAAATCTAAAGCGGCAGATCAGTGTTTTGGTTTTTGCGTCCGTTATAACTAAGCGTTTCTGAGAAATCTTCGAAGAACAGCGTGGGCCCGAGCGTAGCGAGAGCTGGGCATTAACGGTTTATGAGACGTGATTGACAGTTTCTGACGATAGAAACAGATCTGGCGGATTCAAACAGTTGGTGAAAGTTTGGATAGTCGCCGTTCATTTTTCCTGGTGCCGGTCAAGTCCTCTTTGAACAAGCAATATCTGGAACTTTTTGGAATTGGGTCAAGTTCAACAATGCCTGGGTCAAAGAAGGGACAGAGTGTCTTGGATGCAAACAGGAAAGTAAGTCATGGTGACTTGTCTGTTAATTGTAACGATGTGTCTGATGTTAAGCATGACATGGTTGATGTTACTGTTTCGCCGTTCAGGGATAATAGGAACATCAAACTCCCTAAATTTGAACCACGATGTTTTGATGGAAACCCGGCTGATTATTTACAATTTGTAAAGGAGTTTGAGATCATGTTGAGTGGTTTTTTATTAAATGATGAATTGAAGTTAATGTATTTGATGAGATATTGCACTGGAGATGCTGCAAGAGCTATACAGTGCTGTAAGTTTATGAAGCCAAAAGAGGGCTACTACGAGGCTATGAGCATATTACGTCAAAGGTTTGGAAGACCTTCGATGATTGCAGGGAAATTATTCGAGGCTGTTAAGGGTAATGGTGGTCAATTACAGGATGACTCCCAGGCACTCACTGAGTTTTTAGATAATTTGCTAATTTACAAGAATGGAATGATTTCGATGAATCGAATGAGTGACCTCAACTCGAGTTTTATACTAGAAGTAATAGCAAGACGTCTACCTACTCGACTGCAAAGGAAGTGGGTGAAGATGAGCTCCCGTATGGAGGATGAGGGTATCGAGCCAAAGTTTGATGATATCCTGAAACTGGTAAATACTAGTGTCAATCAATCTATGAGCAAGTTTGCCAGTCTATTACATCTCACCCCTAGAATAGAGCAGTCTGAGATCAAAATGCAATCATTGATGACGAGTAGGCCTCAGAGAGGTGGATATCGAGAAGACTCCATGATGTCTAGTAATGCATATAGACCTAGTGAGTGTAACAGGTTTCGTAGTACATCCTCAACAGATAAGTTACAAGATGCAAGACAAACACGGTTTTGTTTTACACGTGTGCAAGAGGTGCATACAGAAGTGAACTGTGAACCGGTGAGCAAGTTCAGTGATAAGCTAAATGTAAACTCCAGGCCTGACTCCGAATTGTGTGACGATAACGGTGTTGTGAAGAAGTCTGTAGTTGCAACTGGTAAGCCGTTGTTGAATAGAGTGTCACAGAATAGAGTTACTGCTTCAGAGTGCAGTTCTGACTCCACAAGTTTACAAAGTATAACTAGTCAGAGTGAAGTTATAAAACCTTTAATGATTTGTGAGGAGGAACCAAAATTGTCTACTTCTGTTATTAAAGAGTTTGAAAATGATGAACTTGACGGTAAATTGAATATTTGTGATAATGATCATGATAGTGCAGAGTTGTCTTTGGTTGATCATGATGAGATGAGGGATATGCCTACTACTGCTAAGTTAAATAAAGGTTCTGTACAACTACAACGTGAAGTAGAATTGAACGCAGATGCAGTTCCAGAAGGTGTGCATACTTGTGAGACAGTCAGTGTAATTGATCAGCGTGTAGCCCACCTATCATCAGATGATAGTGCTAAACCCGAACTAGTAGTGAAAGACAGCAGTGGTGGTAATCTTGCAGTTGGACAACTATCTGAGAGCCGAACAAGAACAGCTTCTGATCCACCACTAAGTTCATCACCTTGTGTCACTCAGTCATCGTTGGTGCTGTCATCCACAATGAAACAGACACCCATCAACTCAAGTATCTTGTGCAATGACTATGGTAGTATCAGTTCGTTTGAAAGGACGAATATCAATGGTCAGTTTAGTGTGGATAAGCCAAGTGTAAAGGAGAGAGTTATTGTTAAATTGACTTGCACGAATAAAGGCATTTCTAGTTTCAAGTTACTATTTGAATGTTATTATCTTTGGTGTAAATTACTCTGTTTCTATACTTGGTTGATGAGATATGTCGTGTGTTTGTTGGTCATCTATATTCTACGATACAATGACATGGGCGTGTTGCCGTTCAGATTTGAGGATATAGCTGATAGAAGGAAGTTAGCAAATGAACTCTGCGACGATTTTCCAACCTAGGGCGTCAACCTGAGAAGGGTTGTAGGCGTACTGCTGTAAGTCCTACAGTTCTTCAAAGGGTAGCGCATCAATGAGCAGTCCAATGTGCTTGGTGTATGATCTTGTACATATGTTCATATTGTATATACTGAATTGATATCATCTGTCATCTAGCTGTTGGTAATTCTGTTTGTGTCCGGACGACTTCCACTTGGATCATCAACCTGAGAAGGAATGTAGGCGTACTGCTGTAAGTCCTACAGTTCTTCAAGGGTAGTTTGTCGTGTCAGAATCCACAACATTTGATGTGTTGATTGTACATATGTTTGTGTTAAATAGTTGTGTGAGTTCCAATTGATGTAATTGTTGGTTAATCTTGTTTGTGTCTGGACATTCCACAACTTACAATCGTCAACCTGTGAAGGGTTGTAGGCGTACTGGTGTAAGTCCTGCAATTCTTCAAAATAATTCCACCAAGACATGATCCGCGAGGTTGTTTGTACTGTTTGTATATACGTGTGGTGTGTCTTCGCAATTTGTGATTTTGGATCAATTGTGTTTACTCGTTGTTTTCGTGCCTTGTTTTTATTGCATAATTTTGTTAAAATTTTCGTCGTGATTACTTCTGAAGTTGTTTCTTGTCTTCTACATCCGTGAATGAATTGATTGATGTTAGAGACAGCAGATGGGTCGTATACGCCGGGGAGGCTAGGCTATTGCTGAGAATGAAATGCACACGGAGATAATTGTTAGCTGCGGTCCGACACGCCGGGGAGAAAGAGTGTAAACGACTGAGGCTCGCATGCGTCACCGCTACTAGAACTGAGGCAGAATGAGTGACAAGCGATTTCAATGGTAATTGGTAGTGAGTAATTAAGAGGATGTGCGTAGAGTATCGTGAGGTGCTGCTATGGTCACGTTGCATTCTGCAAGAGTCATTCTAGCAAATGGCGATTGTGTTGCAAGATGTCAAGAGGAGGTCTCTGTCTGGAGGCGCAGGTCGTCAGCGATGTGTGAGATTGTGCTGTGGGTATGCTTGTGGTGTGTTGGCTTTTCTGTTTGTTTTCCATTTCAGCTCTGTCCGTGTGACCCAGGTTCTCGCAATGGCATCCAAGTCAACGTGCATTGGTCGTGAAGGAAAAAAGGGTTGGATCCCTTTTTTGCCGGGGAGTGTCAATGGAGTTGAAGATTGAACGATCAATTCTTGGTTGTTTGCTTAAAATCAACTTCCCCAATTTTCGCGGAGGCATCAATACGACAGTCATCGTCTCATCGGTCGCTGTTCAGAAAGAAGAGTGAAACATCGTCAGAAGTAATCTTATGATTTATTATTGTAATATTTGTTTTCAGACCTTAGTTCGCTTATTCCTTTTATATGTTGGTGTAACAATAAACAAATCTAAAGCAGCAGATCAGTGTTTTGGTTTTTGCGTCCGTTATAACTAAGCGTTTCTGAGAAATCTTCGAAGAACAGCGTGGGCCCGAGCGTAGCGAGAGCTGGGCATTAACGGTTTATGAGACGTGATTGACAGTGCATGATCCTAAAACTCGACCCACTTTGGACAAGGCGACTTATTATAAACCTAATATTCTTCTTTAAGGTCCTTCACAAAATATCTTTCTCAGGTAACAGGGACATACAATTCGCACAGGTAGGTTCTTCCGATCTGCGTAACGAAACTTGCACAGTGGCAACTCATTCTTTTAGGTCAACACTCCGTGAAAACTTCTTCACAGTCATTTATTCTAAAATATGGAATAGCCTACCCCTAGATATCAGAACTTGCCCTTCGGTTACAAGCTTCAAACGCTGTCTATACAGACTGTTTCACTCTACTGATTATAATAATAAACTATTTACTCCTAGAACGAATCAAGCACTAATCTACTACAGCACCTAAAAGACGCACTTCAACACCCTTAGCAATCTTTAAACTATAAATAAACTAGCAGCATGGATGCATAAAGACATAGTACGGAACATACAGGATTAGTTTACCCTTAGAAATAGGACCTATCCCTCATTGCAACCTTCAAACGCTTGCTATATAAACTGTTTTGTCCAAATGACTATCCCTACCTGAACCCATCACTTATTTCTAAAACGCATCAGTCATTAGAACACTAAAACGCTCAGAGTCATTAATACACATTATGACATTAAATAAACTCTAAGACTTTGCATAAATACGTGAAAACAGATACAATATAGAAAAATGTTTACTTGAGTATAATTTACAATTAAGATAAACATTTATAAATGCATAATATATAAATGTCCTTTTCATGTTCACATACTTTCTCTTTCTGGTATTTTGCTGCTCCTATTCATCTTCTGGTTGAGGTCGAACAACCCTGCATCTAAACTGAAATGAGGATTAATTCCAAATCGTCTATCTCATAACCACTCAAATTCCATGAACGATTCAATTCTACCATTTGAAGACGCTGGCGAACATGCTGTAAATAAGTATTCATGATCTGAAATGAAGAAGCAACTGGTTTTCAAACAGTTTTAAACATTTTACTGAACTTACGAATACAGTCCGCCATGCAGACACAAATGGAGCGAATGGAGAATTCTGGAATCGACCTCGGCACCACTTGATGCAGTAAAACAACCCAACATGACCTTATCTAGTTTTCGTATCCACGATCAAATTTCTTTCCTGTTATGAAACTACGACAAGACTACTGAAAAAATGGAATAAATATATCACTGATCTCAACATAATACATCAATAATCTTTAAGCCAAGGGTGCTGTTCACAACAAAGTTATGTAAGAGAATTGACTTCAAGCTTTATTTTTCCCAGATATTTGTATTACATTCATCTGATGTCTGGGTTTTTTGTTAATGCGAAGATAATATTTCTATATCTCTTTATGTGCTACACAAACAAACTTTATAGCAGACTGTTCCGACTGACTTTGATGTCAGAAAGAACAACCAAACTGTAAATCCATTATACATCAAATTTTGTGTAATTTATATAATAACTTATCCTTGCCTGTACAATTGGTATGTTCCTGCATAAACAGGAAGAAATATAATTTGAAAGTTAGACAAGAGGGTGTAGAATTCACTCACTTTTCCATAAGCTTTCAAACCCCACAGTCTATAATTCTACTTAAGGTGGTCAATTTTCAAACGATAATGGATATAACCTTGGACAATAAAGGTAGAGTGGTTATAGAACAATGTAAAACCTCAACCAGACGAAAGTTTTACTTGATTAGATGTGATCAGATAGGGAACAGACTACCTACGGAAATGCAGCTAGCAACTACATTGGCCTCCTTTGAAAAGGTACTTAATGACACACTAAGAGAATTGGCAAGCTATACCAATGCCAGTTCCCATGCAAGAGCTTCAGATATCATGAGCCCATTTAACATATGAAGTCAGAGATCACACCAATTGTTTGTTTTGCCTCTATGTCTGAATGAACATTCTTGCTGTATTAAAATAGGCAGCCATCATGACAAAAACACGCAAACAAATAAGAGTCCATTGAATTATGTCTACCTGATACAAATAGTGAAACAAAACAGACATACGAAATACATATGAGAAAAAAAGGTCTAAACTTACCACAATATCACATGGAAAGATATAAGTTACTTAGACATTATTTATAATCCACCAACTAGTCTACTTTCTCAAAAGAATGTGGTGATAATGTATTGACAGTGGCGAGGAATTATAAAACTCCGTCGTATATACTCATTGGTAGTAGGAATCAATGAAGTGATGCATTTAAAGCGTACGCACACTTCTCATGATTATGGCGATACTTTGCGGAATATGCAAAATGGTAAAGACCACTAACCATATGCTAACAGCTTCGCTAGTTGGCTTAAGTAGTGAAGGGCAGCAGCTAGTGTTGTATGATGACTGTCTAGGAAACTGAGAAAACTTCATATGCCTACTTCCTTAGTGAATTAACTTCACTGTCAGCTCTGCGACAGGAGAGCTTTCAGTTCTATCGGGAGTGTGTAAGTAATATTGGTATGCAGAATGCTTCCTTGAACTGTGTACATCAGCCTCACTCTCTAGGAGTACTGCTAATTTGTCGAAGACATTGATTTAATGGGTATTCCTCTTTAAATTAACCAACAATATCAGCAAGAACCACGTCATCAGATACCTATAAACTTCCGTCCTAGTAAGCAGTAGGTGGAACGCCCCTATTCGCACCAAAATAAGAGAACAGGTGGATATCCAGGGTGTTTTGTTTTATGAAGAGGCTACTATAGTTTGGCATGTTAAACATTTCCGCAGTTCGAAGAAAGATGATTCGCAGTCGTATCTGACTAAAAATAAGTCGAGTTTGAGCAAATGTATTTGAGAGTTTTGATAGTATATCAGAATGCAGTGACAACAATCAACAACGCGCCATTGGGAAGTGAAGTTAAATAGAAAATTTGGTCGGTGGTTTCGACTGTTGAAGAATCCCTTTTTGTAGACTGGTGTGGGATTTATATTTCATGTGAAAGTGGAAATATGAGCATAGTTATAATATCCTCCAAACTATTTTATTTTGGTGCTCTGGTCAAATATCAGTGATTTGTTTAGCTGCTTCAAAGTACTAAATGGCAGCCTTTTAGAGGTGACTGATTTTGATATATTGCTGTGTGGTTGTTTTGTGTTTGATCTTTTACAGTGTAAATATCGACAGACTAGCAGGTAATTCAAGTTTTTAACAAACATTGCAAGGTTTGTTTGCTATTTATTCACTTTTCGTGAAATATACTCTTTAGGTAGTCGTCAGAATCGATACCTAAAGAAAGTCCTTATTTCAACATCTGAATTTACTAGTTTTGCAAGACAGCGAATTGGTTTTTATTTGGTTGTCAGTATAGGTTTCAAGCAAAAGTTTCTGTGCAAAGTTTGATAGCCGTTGTCATACCTTTTTTAACAGGGCTTATGATGTTATAGGTTTCTTGAGTTCTCTACATTTCCTGGCCACTGCAATTACAACAGTGAGCCTGTGCGCCTACGAAAGCCCCACTTGTGTGTGCACTAAAACCGTACGGGGAATAACTGCAAGAGAGTTTTATTTTGATAATTTGATATCAATTCTGGACCAACTTTTGGATCTGTTGGCTCAAAAGGTCTCCTTATGATAAACTCTAAATGGTTTCACAATGCTTCCCAAATGCCAGCTTTCTCAGAGTGAAACAGTTACTGGCTTGAACTCTAAATAGATGCTTAATATACCACACTTGACAGATGTTTTGCCTGCAAAAAGCATCTCTTATCTACTGGGAATCTGTTGCTAAAACCCTCATACTAGAAGTTAAGAAAGACAAAAATTGACTGGGTTTTAAGATGTGAGTAAATCACATTTGAGATGGTTAACTGACTCAGAGTTCTCTTATGATCTGGTAACTGACATTCGCCTAAAAGATTAGGTCCACAATTAGAAATTTAGTTTTCTAGATTGTAATGTGACATGATGTTATTAACTTTCACTCCTTACCTAAGACTATACACTACCTGGTGATTATTGTACATATTACTCCATCTAAAAAGAGCGATTGAACGAGAGAACTTACTATCCGGAAACCTCAGTGTTTTTATGTCTTTCATCTTCAATAGGCATTTCAGCCGAATATTGGAATAGAGCGCATACGGCAGAGTGCATACTTGGGTAGGCATCAATATATCGCACCTATAGGAGTTGGCAGATGTCCAGTCGTCTTTGCGTTTCCGTGGGTGGGGTACAAAAAGGTGTTGACGAGTGTCACTATCCTTCCTCTTTCTCACATATTCGGCCAAACAGAACGCAGTCAGTTATGCAGTGAAGTCTAAATGAGAGATGTGGTTTCTTTTCTGTCCTAGCTAGTCCACGAGAACTACCCAAGGAATCTGATAAATCTTATGGTTAATTTCTGATAGTTCAGAGAGTTGTTCGCAGCGTAAATTTAGGTAGGCAAAGTCAGTCTGAGGTTGTGAAGCTGCATCGATTGAAATATCTAGGCCACATGCCACGCATGCCGAACCACCTTCATCGTTGGGTTGTGTCAGCTGATGATTCAACTGTGAAAAGTTCGGGGTGGTCAGACAAATATTTGACATCCGTTCATAGTCTTTGACAGTCGGTTTCCGCCACGTTGGCTACCTGGTTTTCTCTACTTTTTGTGTGCTACATTAAGTGTGACGGCTTGAACTGCTTCTGTACAAAATTTTACGTTGGAACTCAGTATCGTATGTTTAGGGAACTACGAACCTTGTCTCCCTGGTTCAATAATCTAGCAGTGGTAACAAGACAGGGCGCGATAATTCTGAGGGTTTGTATTATCAGCGAAAGAAAAGCAAGGTGAAGGTGGGTAATGTGTTTGAATGCGTTTGGGTGGTTGCCAGTGCCACCCTATGGAAGGTGATTTCTTCCAATGTCTGGAGTAGTGAGAAGGATTGGGTTATCTAACTCTAAGGCCCTAGTAACAACTGCTCATACACGGTCTGTTTGGAACTGGGACCTTAGAGTTTCATAAAAACAGCTGTGAACCAGCATAGACTGCTGGTTTGTGCATTTATTTGAGTTGACATATTTTAATCTTTCTCAGAGTTGGAAGAAGGTATAATTAACTTGGTTACTGCCTGGGTGAAACATTACTTCTATATCCCTTTCCTCAAGCAGCGTGGATTTTACCTCACATCCCTACCATAGTGTAAGGAACTTACTCTGGGATGATAATTCTACGGTTATCCAGCCAACCTTTCTGCAGAAAGACTCATTTGGGCCAGTGTAAGTTGCGTGATTGCAATACGCAAGACTAGCCTCCACATTAGAGTAACATTTGTCAGTCAGGTAGTGTTAGGTGTCATTGGGTATGTGCTATGTTACACACTAATTCCATAACTCAAACTAAGGTGATAGAGTCATTTCGATTTACAAGAAAGAATAATTGCCAGGGTTTCGCTTCTACTTATACTGTGTCACTCGACTGAAGGGAATAAAGCAAGTTATATTTATGGATGAGAGCTCATTGAACAAATTCTTAATCTCCTGCAAGTTCTGGAACACTTACTGACGCCGAAAAATTGCACAGTGTGCGGTTCTGAAGGAAATATCGAGAGTACATTACGCTACTCGGAGCACTTCACTGGGAATCACGGCAAGTTACCATTTCACTTGACGACAACCAGTATTTTTCCTTATGGGTTCTAAATTCCCTCGAATATATTCAGTCTTATTTCAGATGCCTAGTTTGAGACAGTTCTACGGTTCCTTCATACTTCATGGTAAAGATACAAGCCATGTGCATCTTTTATCCCTTCCAAATGTAAAACAGTACTAGTTGGAATCTATTCCTAATGTAAGGAAAAAGATTAGGGTTGTCAGCTATTTAGTAAGCTACGTATGCTTTAACAGAGTTATTGGCGACTTAATTGTTTAACACTTGCCAACTTGATTCCACGAGATAATGGATACACGTGAGTAGTATAACTCAGTCACCTCAGGAGACGGTGGTTTATTACCTGATCAATTGATCTTCCTGTGACACCTATGCCGCTGCCTTGTGCGTTGCTTATGTGGTGGTTCCACCGAAAGCCACTAGTGAAGCCAGTGACAATCAGCTACCTGAAGTTTCCATACAACTTCTGTCTTAGGCGTTGACGTTCTCAGCCATACAGTAGGTGTATTGCGGTGCAGTATATTCAAGCAATTGAATATCTTGCCATTCTAAACGTGGCGTAGTTTAGTGACAGTTAACTTATTTCACTGTATGTATGCCGCGGTTTCATCAGCTACCAACCTATCAAAGTGGGTATAACTTCCTGGGAAAATGGAGATGTGGCTGACTAGTTTAAACATTTTTAGCCTGAGTAACTGTGCAGCTTCATTAGCCCCCACAGTAAGTGTGGCTCTTATGCTAGCACATAAAAAATTCTATCCCAGCTGAGTGAATTTAACCGAGGTAAGTGATGTGATTGACACAATGACTTCATCCTGTGTAGTTAGACAAGTTATTGGTGCAAATTGGTTATTAATCAGCGATTTGTGCTGAGGAAGTTAAAAGCAAGCCTTAAACATCCTCAGATTGTCACCTCAACTGTCCGGAAGATTTCATCTTTTCAACATTCTTTTTTGATAAGACTATATAGTTTGAAGTGACTCACTTCTTCAATCACTAAATTCTGATCTTCTATGAAGATATGTCGGTTAAAAATAAAGGAAAGGTATTCTTGATAAACATCAATCGATGAAGTTTTTAGTCTGGTTTGAGTCACATAGGGGGATGTAGGCAGCCTGGTTGCGGTCCTCGAGACGCTAAGAACCAGTGGTTAAAGATTGTTGGTAACATGGATCAGTACCGTAGTTGTGTATCCCTTGTCATATCCAAGATGTCATTCTGCATGTAATATTGTTTTCTCGTGTGTTTTGCACTTTTTTCTCTACATTTATGCGTGCTTTGTAGAGTGCAGTTTCTGGAACTACTGTGCTTTTATACACAGTTCTATGTTGGAAACTCAGTCAATCAGTAGATATTTCATCTTATAGTTCACCACTCTTCGACACGTCTTCAAGTCCTTCAGCCTAGGAATTTGTTTTGAAGGATGTATTTAACAGGCATTCCTTTCAGCGAAAGCAGTGCTATTTGGTTGCTCACATGACGGATTTAGATTTCGCCTCTAGGTAAAGAAATATGAAAAATAAGTAGTGCAGGCTCTGGCATAAAAATGTGTGGTTGAAGTACTCGTAGTTCACTAAAAGTTAGAAAGGCAGGTCCAAAATTGCATTCCGTTCTTTGGACATGTGTAATCGTAAGATTCAGTCGCCTTAGGACTGGAATAAAGGTGTCCTGGATAAATCACATCTACAATGCAGGGAGTGCTTAGGTTAGTATAACAGCAAAATATTTGATGTCAATATTCATTTAGTGTAATTGAGGCATGTTGAGCACATAGCCACTATCTACACATGCGCACTTTTGCAGATGAAGTTAGATTAGGTTAGGAAAACTAACGATGGTGTATAAAGACCCGGGGCGCTCAATCGAACCGTTTAGGTAGATTTTCCTGGTTGAGTCTTTAAATACAAAATATCCACCACTGGAAACTTCTTGGTAAAAAGACTGAAAGTAAACCACAAAGTCATGGATGTGCTGATCTTGTAATTCCGAAAATTTCCACTGGCTCTCACTGAATTTTAGTCTCACGCCTTTTATCTATTCCCACATAGTTCTGTCTGTTGGTTTCTACTCTGACTACTTGAAATGATGCGTTTCTATGCCAGTTTTATTGTAATACCTGTCTTTCCTGATAATTTGAAAATTGAGGAAATCTAGATACTAAAAGTTATTGCTGGCTTTTGTTAACGTGTTATTTGTAGTATTGGCGTAGCCGTATGTTCTGCTGTGCTCTGTATTGCCGTCCCGCACGATCACTAAAAACAAACTCATGGTTCGACATATTGTACCAGTGTTATATTCCGAGATTGGATATTTTATTAGAATAATAGTAAGCGTATAGTTAGGTATAGAATGTCCTCCAGAAGCTCTAGTCCTCCAAGATGATCGTGATATATGCTAAATATATGGATCTACTTGCTATTCGCAGCTGACTGACTACGTCTCAGCATAGGACTTTGCACAGAAGTGTAGCAGTTCAGCTTGCCACACAGCCTAGCGCATAAAGATAGGGAAAGAAAAGGGAAGTTCAACAGAAATATGTGTAGAAATGTGAGAAAAATAGTTACATAAGTAAACATGAGGGCTTAATAGATCTAGGATATAACAAAAAGTGTATGCATCTACTCCGTTGACAGCGATTTTGAGCCACATCACCAATGGCTCGAGCCATTTGGTTCTCCACGCGTGATCCTGACTACTCCAGCTAGGCAGTCTACATCTCCCTATGTGGCTGATGTAAATAAACCAACACTTAAAGATTCCATGAACTGATCATGATTTGACCGCCTCTTACTCTTCCAAACTAATCTTGTGCTAGCTTTTCTCAGCATATAATGGTGTCTGAAGTTAAACTGATGTGAAAGTAAGCTGTGACCAAGTATGCGAAAATATAACCAGCATCAATCTATTTGGTTTGTATTCCGGTTTGAGTCACTTAAGAAAGTATTGAGTTACTTGAATTTTGCAAGATTACCGAGAACAATAAGGGACTGATACGATTCCCAGTGGTATCGACGCATGTACACTGTCTTCATATATACCATAAAAATTCCGTTTGCCTTTATTATTCTGTTTTTATTTGCAACTGATGATGTCATTGTTCCCACTCTTTCTCTTTTGTTGACAAATTCAAATTGACATGCGACTACGTCTTGTTATGTTTTGCATACTTCTCTGTGGAGGTATAGTGCATTAGTTTTATGCTTGACTCTCCATATACTTTTACTTGGGTTACAAGGCCCTCACAAATAAAGTGTAGCTCCCGACCTAATGTGACAACTTGCTTTGGCTTTCATTTAGTTAAATGGAATGTTTTAAGATTTGATCATTGGCTACAAGATGAGGTCGATATGTATCTTTTTTAGCTGTAAAATACCAATTAAGATCGAAGTAGTTGAAATTGACCAGTCATAGTAATAATAGAAAAAGATAATACTAATGTTTGGTATTTCGTACTTATCCACCTGTGAAAAATATATATTGTCTAATCACAGAAGTGATTCACACTATCTGAACAACTTTGTGTGTTTCTGTGAAGAATATGTTGTTGGAAATGATGTTAAAATATGTTAAAATAAAACAACCTTTTTGCAAACCTTATAAAAGTGACAGCTGAAAACGCCGGATTACTATCATATCTTAACGTGTGATCAAAAAACTGATAGTACATATATATTATTTGTGCGGAAACAAGCTAATTCAGTCTTATAACTCCAGTTGAACTCTCTAGGATATTGCAAGGACAAGTGACAGCCTATTCGCTTAGTTTAGCTAGGTTGAGTCGTAGCGATTCAGTTAGATAGCTAGGGTAGGTTGTATTATTGCTTAGTTGGTGACAGTTTAGATAGAACCTATCAACTAGTGATAGCTAGTCTAGTGCATATTTTGGTAAAACGCCATAGGCAATTATCACAGTTATCAGCCTTAGTAGAATGATCGCTGACGAAATGTCTGCACGAATATAAAAAGCTCGTGCAGTATTTGCCAACATACGTCATCTTTAGCGTAGACATAATACTGGGCTATCAATCAAGGGATGTGTGTACTACTCGGCAGTTCGTTCTGTCCTTTATGGCTGTGAAACACGGCTATTGAAAACGAAGACCCGAAGACGCCAGCTGTCTTCGATCGCATATGTTTTCGTTCTATCTGTCGTGTAGTAGTAGTATTGAAGTTGGGCGTAGTGTTAGTTAAGAAAGGAAAGTCAGTCTATGACGTGAAGCCTCGTCGATGGAAATAGATGGCTAGGGTGTATGACTTATACCGGGCCACCACCTTCCTTATCTAACAGTAGGCTGACATATGGTTCAGTTCGAATAGAGTCGGGTGTGTGTGTGTTGTCAAATGAAAACCTAGCATTCATGAAGATTTTGACTTTGTTTGAGCCATCCACGTAAGGTTTAGACTGTCTAGTTGGGGTCCTCGGGATCATGTGTTGACAACCAATAGCTGGAGACATGATGGTATAGCTAAAGTGTTTTCAGGGGTGCAGATGCATCTACTCTCTGTGACTGACTGATCCATTAATTTCTCATGTTTATCCATGTTACTACTCTTTCTCGCGTACATTTCTGTTGCTTATAAATTCCTTTGATTTTTTCTTTAATTTTGTGTGGTATATGAAATGTGTGGAGTTGTACGTGGAAATTCCGGCAGTCATCACTGAGGTTATCCAAAAATAAATTTGTATTATTAGCGGTTTTCAGATTGTTACTGTTTTGCAGAAATAATTATTCCATAGATTTTTGGAAGAAGCAGGTTATTACTGGTCTGATGTATTTACTACATTTTCTGCAACAGTACTCAATTGTTTAGTTTGTCACTATGAGATTGTGAACTAACTTTCAGGATAACATGATCTGCTCACCTTTAAAGCCATGATCTTTTTTAGTAGGCTATGTTTCTAGCTGTTCACTTGACATAATTATATCATCAGTATTTCATTTTTCAGATATGGGATCCTCTGAAGCCAGTACACGTCGACGAGTTAAGTTATATATGCTGAATGATGAACGGCAGTGGGATGACAAAGGTACCGGTCATGTATCTGCCTTGTACACTGAACAGGACAATATGGCGCTTGTAGTAATTTCAGAAACAGACGGATCTTATCTACTTGAATCGAAAATACTACCAGATACAGCGTATCAAAAGCAACAAGAAACGCTAATAGTTTGGTCAGAAGGTGAAAATATGGATTTGGCTTTATCTTTTCAAGAAAAAGTTGGATGCGATGATGTATGGGAGAAGATTTGTGCTGTTCAAGGGAAAGATCCATCAGTAGAGATTACTCAGGAAGTTATCGATGAATCAGATGATGTCGATGACACAGATGGATATACACCTTCCATGATGCAAAGCATTCAGCCTCTTAGTCTCCCTCCTTGTGAATTGAGTCGTCTTGAAGAAATTGTTGATGTGATTAGTCAAGCTGTTGCATCACCTCCAAAACGCGAGAGGTTAGTCGCTTTTTTGGAGTCAACAAATTATCTACACCAGTTAGTTGATGTTTTTCATAAAGCAGAAGACTTAGAAGACATAGAATCCCTACATCATCTTTACGAAATCATGCGACAATTTATACTGGTGAATAAACACAGTCTATATGAAAACTTATTTGCTGATGATATGTTAATGGATGTAATTGGTATACTGGAATATAATCCTTCTGGACGTACTAAACATCGTGATTTCCTTAAGAATAAAGCTACTTTCAAGGAAGTATTACCGTTACATAATGCAGATTTGGTGACAAAAATACATCAAACCTATCGTGTTCAGTATATACAAGATTGTTGTCTACCACCTCCTTGTTTATTCGATGAACATACTCTCTCCCAACTTAAAGCGTTTGTTTCTATAAATAAAATGGAGATTATACGAGCTCTTCAAGAAGACGAGGAATTTATGTGCCGACTTTTTACACGTTTAAAGGCAGCAGACACAGATCTAATCCATCGGAAAGATTTATCACTTTTTGTAAAAGAATTCTGTAATATTTCAATTCAAACTGATCAAAAAGAAAGTTTTCTTAGTTGCTTACTTCAACATGGAGCATTGAGAACAGCTGAAGTATTACTTGCGATTGATGATCGTGATATTCGATCAGCTGCTCTAGAAATTCTACAGGCATTTATCGAGCATCAACCTTCTGTTGTTCGTGAATATGTATTCAGAGAAACTGCTCCTTTTCGTAAGGATGAAGAATTACTCATCAATTTAATGATAAACCAACTGCTAACTGATCCAGATCCAGGTAAGTTATTTTATAGGTTAATATTCAAGATAATTTTCTTCTAGAACTCAGTGATGCTTTCCTTCTGGGATACATGCTACGCATTCTTATCGACCCTGATAATATGAATAATTCTGGTGTGGTAAGTCACTGTTTTATGTGGATGTGTGTGTATATGCAGTAATTATCATTCACCCTAAAGGTATCAAGAGATTCCTCAGCCGGTTCGCAAGGACTCGCAGCATTGAGTATTAGGGCAGAATAAATCACTTATTGACTGGATCCCAGTAGATAGTTGTATGTGTGCGGCCCGTCTGAACGGGTCCGTTAGAAGGAAGGATGGCGTTACCCATCGTTGTCTTTTCATAGTCCCCGCTTGCGTCTCAACCGACTGCAGTTCGGATGAATTAAAGGATGATTGCTACCAGAAACTGTCTAGTTTGCTGCGAGATGCAAACATAGTTGTTTTATCAGGCTACTTCAATGCCTAAGTAGGGAAGTTATGCCAGACTGAGAAGTATGTAGGTGGTACATAGGGAGTTTCCTGCCGGCAAACCAACAACAGTTCTGTTCAGATAATCATCTGTTTCTCTGTAAAACCATGATTTATTCTGCGTATTATGAATAAATCAGTCTTCCCTTCCCGTTTGCTACACTCGTGTACATCTATAATTTAATAGAATTAGAATTTGTGATGCCAAGCCCTGTGATTTTCATCTGTCTGTACTAGATTTTGTAACTTTGATAAAGCTATTAGCATTAAATAGTCTAACATCAGTAAAAAACATTACTTTGTTTTTTATTTATTGGAAAATACACGATTTTTGTTGTTGTTGTGGTAATAGGATGGATTATTCTTTCCAGACGGGAAAATGAATACCACTTTTTTTTAGAACATTATGCTAATTCTAAGCCGTACATGAGGGAGGTCTAACATCTTTAATCATCAATGTTTGTAGATGTCATCGAATTATTCGTCATATAAGACACCTTAATTTACCTTGTATACTATTTTGCGAAGAGATGCATGGAAATGTGCTTTAGCAGCCACTTTTCACATTTTTTGTTTCCGAACTTGTAATTGCGTACGTAGTCCCGAGGTTTTCATACAATTCATGTCAACCATGAAAACCATGTAAACTATATATGTTATACGTTATACGAATTAAAGGAATGATATGTGTGTCATAATAGATTTCGAACTAGCCTGTCCTCATCAATGGCTGAAGACTATTGGAGGATTTGGCTCAAAATTGCCTTCAATAACTCAGATGCTTTGTTATCATCTCCTAGATTCATTAAACCCTCGTGTTTTTTCCATGGTATTGTTCTTTCTCCTGTACATTTCTGCTAACTATTGTACTTGTGGATTCTCCCTTTTTTCCTCTCTTTTGTCTACTTTTGTGTGCTACATGGAATATGGCAAATTTGAACTATTACACTTCTGTACAAAGTCGTATATGTTGGAACTGTGTTGTCATTCAGTCATTTTTTCGGATTACTAGCTGAGTTACTTACCGACTGGTGTGTATGTCGGAACGGTTTAAAAAAAACGTCTGCATATCATTCGTCCAACTGTCAGTCCTTCGGATTGTTCTAATTTTCTTTTTATTACTGAATGTATTGGGATACTCTACATTTTAGTGTAAATTGGAATGAAGTACAGTACAGTGCACTAGTTAAATGTAGTAGATTTGATGAGTAGTGCTAAGTAATCTGAATTAAGTATATTTAGTTGTGTTCTTTGTGCAAAAAATCTGGTTTATGTATATGGGAGTGTCTGGAAACGGAGTGTTATGTTCACTGAGATGCATACTCAGTATTTGTCATTCATAGCTCCTAGCGCAGCCAAACAGCTTGACCGTTAGCTGCTACTTCGACGTGGTAGTCGGGCTTGCATAATACAACCAGAGCTATACATGGTCTATTCCTGCAGCTCCTACCGTGGTAGAAAGGCCGTTTGGATAGGGATTAGACCAAAAACAGTTTATGTAATAGTGTAATTCGCTTGCAGTATATTGGGGACACCTGAAGGCAAAGTTGTACTGCTGACAAATAGGGATGTAATGTTTCCACTCCGGACAAGCTTCAAGCTTGGTTTTCTAACTTCTCTGCTCTAGAAAGAGGTTGTTAGAAAAGGTCACGCCTAAAAGTTCAACATCCTGACTTACCTTTCAGTAGTCCCTAGCTGGCGGTAAGATCTTCATAGGGACGCGACTCTAGAAACCAATCTGAAGAGTCTATGTGTAATTCGCCTTAAGTGGTTGTCCTATGGGCTCCACTCCTCCTTCAAGTATTTCTTTAAGGCAACTTCCAGAGTATGGTGGGTAGATGGGAAGTAATAATCGTCTATGACACTTCCATAAGCATTGAAACAAAGGAAATTATACCCTGATAAGAATGTTAGTCAACTTGTTATTTATATTATATTTTTATTGTTCCCTTGGGTTCCTGGTGGAACATAGGGCTTCAACTCCACGTCTCCCTCCACTTGCTTCCGTCTTCTATCTGCTGTACTTTTCACCTGCATCCATGTTAGTCCATACTCTTCCAACTCCTCTTCACACGATCTCCTCCATGTCACCCACCCTTGCACTGACGTCCCACTCTCCGCTTCCCTTTCGGCCTGGTTCCACTCGAGAAATGGCCTGAAGTGCGAGCCATGTCACCCTGTGGCCTTCTCAGCGAGCAAGTGTCCAATCCATCTCCACTTTCTCCTGCACATTTGTTGGTTGGCGATTGGTTCTTGTTCTGTTTTGTTTGTTCCCAGCCATAGTTTTTTGTTGTTGGTGATTGTTTCCGACCCGGCCATCTGATCTTCATTCAGTATAGAGCGATAGTTGAGTTGACAGTTAGTTGTTGATAAAGGTGTGCAATAGCTAGCCAGCCTGTTGGAAATATTCTTTGTGACCCGCTCGCCCGCCAACTTTCTGATCCGATCCGTATAGAAGAACTGACTGACTTGACGTTGTTTGTATTGGAAATCCGACCGACCGAATTTTGTTGTTGATGCTGACTGAGTGACGGAGATTCCCAGATTGGTTGTTTCAGGTTGATGAATGTGTGTGTTCTCGCCTTCTGGATGATTCTTGATTTGACATACTCGTCCGTTCTGACTGCGCGTAGTTGAGACAATGCTCCGTAGATAAGTGAATGAATGAAGTAACCTCTTTCAAATCCCTCCCGTTGATGGTGATTGACGCTGGATGTTGCTGCTGTTGTTGTTGGTTGGTTGGTTATTTTCATCACCTCCATCTTGTCTATGTTCACTTGGAGTCCTGTCTTCTCTGGCTGCTTCTTCGACCAGTTTGTCGATTTCCGCTCGCTTGTAAGTCTTCGATTCTGTGTGACATCAAACATAAATCATTCGCGAAATCAACTTAGTCGTAAGAATAATTAGTAGATGATGTAGTTAAGTGGAAATTTTCAATCTTATGTATTAGTTTTGACAGTAATTCTCCATTTTGTGCTGCCGTAGTATAAGTATCTTTTTCCTTAAAAAAGTTGCGTAGACTAATGAAGTTATCATTTAAAGTTTTATTATTAATAATACTTTTTGATGAAAACTTAATGAGTCGTATATGTGATTCTTAAATGATTCACGTGAAGAAAATAGCTCTTATCTTGACACTTATAGACAAGAGATTTCAATAACATTTAAGTATCTTTATTGTATATAAATCATGTCCTAAGGGTGTGTTTTATGCTGTTGTGTCGTAAAATACACAGCACAGACACACACACACACACTTAAATTCTTACTTTAAATTCACTCACATTATAATCCTTCGTTATTGTGAATGTTGTGTACACTGAACGAAATCATCAGCAAAGGCATACTCATATTACATTGATCCAGTGAAAGTTAAACATAAATGGAAGTAGTTACGATTAGTCTGAAATGTAAGTCGGTTTTTAAAGGTGTGTAACACCTGAATATCTGACTTCAAATGTTTGTGAGCAAACTGTTTGCAAAGCAATCAATCAGTGGTGGTTTTCACTGCGTCATGGCACCATGTTTTCTCAGTTATGCGTTAACTTTCAATCTTTTCACCTCAGTAAAGTTTTATGACATAGGTCAGTAGTTTGCGGATAGAGAATGGTGGTGTTACTGTAGTCTTAAATCCAATTCCTGGCCCCGTACATTCCTAAACGTCGCCGGAAAACCGCATAGATTGAGCTTGAGACTAGCGACCTCACTGTGTAAAAACAACGCAAGGGTTAATGCAGCCCCAAAGCTTAAAACACCCGAAACCCAAGTGGAATACGAAAGGAATAAAATCGAACTTTTATCACAAATCATCAGAAATGGAATATTTAAATATAGTTGATCCGCTATATAGAAAAGGAGGCTGTTTGAACTTGCTTCCTCATTTAATTATAGTGGGTTCGCCCGTTGCAAGTTTTTGTTAATTTGAAAGTTTTATACTAAAAATGCCTCAATTATAATATGAGGGCATATATATATATATATAGCTATCATGGGGTTAGTCAAAGTTGCACAATCCCTCCATTATTCCTCTTTAATTTTTTCACCTTTATTATTCTGAGGGCAGTTCTAAAAGGGAGGCAAGTTGTATAGACCTTTCAACGCGGAGAAAGGCTACTTAACCTTGACTGTGTGCACAATATCGTCCTTCTGGTGTGACCATTCTAATGACAAATAATCAGTTGACATCCATCATAAGTATAAGGCGGTCTGCTTAAATCATTGGGCTACCGAAATTACTTTCCTCCAAAATGCTTAATTTCATCTGGGTTTATCATTGTTTTAAGTGTCCAGTTATATCAAATGACCTATACATAAACTTGCGCTTTGATATAACTTGCTCCCAAGTAAACGCTGTACAATTTTTCAACGAAATGAAGATATACTTCAGATTATTAATTTACATGTGAATCCTGTGTGAAGAAAAAAGTGCTTTGGAGCTGAATACGCTGAAAATTTTTGTACCGTATATTCGCATACTGTCATAAATAAAGCTTAACCATTATTATTATTATTATTATTATTATTATTATTATTATCATTATTATTATTATTATTATATGTAGAATATGCTTTATATAATCGAAATATATATAACGTTGCTTAGCGAGTTTCTCAGTAGCACGTGTTCCCTCTCATCTTCACACACGAACCGTTGCTGCTATTTCTAAGTGAATACTGAAATCTGAACCCAGGCTACTGTAAACTTTTTTTTCTTCACATTCCCAGTGGAACATAGGGGCTCAAGCTAGTGGATTGAGGTTTCTGTAGCAGTGTTTATTTTTACAGGATGAGGTTGCCAACCTTGTGTCCAACCTTTCCTCTTTACCAGCATTATTTCTGGCTTAGCGCGAGGTAAAGGAGTGCGTTCGTGGCCGGGGATCGAACCCCGGACCATGTGCATGGTCCGGTCGGCGAGCGTCCTAACCGCTGTGTCACCAACGTACACACTGTAAACCTTAATAATAACTAATTAAGATCAATTGTCACCGTTATTTTTCGTCATCATATTTTATTCTTAAAAAATGTTTTACTCATGCAGATCATTTATTACTTTTTTCAAGTCGAGTTTTCTTTTTCTTCTTTTATTACAGCGTAGTGAAAAAACAGATTTCCTCAGTTTCTTCTACAAACGATGCATCAATACACTAGTCCGACCGCTATTTGATAATACAGCAAAAGATGTCCTGGAAAAGGGTAAGTGAGAATTTAAAACAAAATTATGAGATAATTGTTTTCTCTATTATAGATGATTATCATACTGCACTGGTATTGAATCATATCATTGAATTGCTCACCTTCTGTATTGAAACGCATACATATCATATGAAGAATTATTGCTTTAATCGGGATCTTTTAAAGCGTGTACTTGTTCTATTACAGTCTTCGCATAAATTTCTTGTATTAGGTAAGTCGCCTATTCACTATTTGTTATCACTAAATCTATCGATTTTTTTCTAGCCGCTTTACGTCTTCTACGACGTGTTGTTCATATGAAAGAGGAATTCTACAATCGTTATTTAATTAAAAATAATCTTTTTAAACCTGTTCTCAAATTATTTGTATCCAATGGATATCGTTATAATCTATTGGATTCAGCTATCATTGAATTGTTTGATTATATACGCGCGGAAGAAATCACTTCATTGATAACGCATATTGTGGAGAATTATTGGGATATATTAAAGAATATCAATTATGTACAGACATTTACAGATCTTAAACGAACCTATGATCATAGTCATCGGTCAGTAAGACCTGTTGTTGGAACTGTTAATCAACAAGCCACTCTGGATGTGTAAGTTGTATTATATTTTCTTTAAAAAAATTTCAAATTAGCGTTTATTGTTATGATTCTGAACATTTTTAAGTCATCTAGTCATTTTTTTGTGTTGTAGCATTAGGTGTGGAGAAGTGAAGTCATCATCAGATAAGGTTGTGAAGCCACATTGATGAAGATGGGGCTAGGACATGTGCCATACATGCCAAACCCACTATCTTATATTGGTCAACCGATGTTAGCCGATATAGGATTAGGTTGGAAAAGAGTCAGCGCATAAAGTCGTTGACTGTTGGTTTGAATTAACCATGTAGGGAGGTGTAGACTGCTTCGTGGTTGATGGAGGGGTTGGTTCTTTAGACAGCGAAAATTATCCTTAATGCCGTCGTTATATTCCCTCCCTCCTCACCTCCCAGATTCGCTGAACTCTGATTTATTCTCCAAGTGCTTATTCTCCCCCCCTGCATATTTTTGTTTATGTTCTTTTTGCGTTCCCATTTTTTCCCTACCTTTTTGTGTTGTGCCTTATGAAGCGAAGCACTTTTATGTTACAAGATGCTACAAGACTCATTTAATTACCGCATAAGCTAACCGACTTTTATGTGAGTAAGGTATTCAGTAACAGTGATATGCATAATTTATAAGTATATAAGTATTTCAATATCTATGCTCTATATGCCTAGCAGCTTAGCAGTTCTTATGTGTGTGTGTGTGTGTGTGTGTGTGTGTGTGTGGGTGCATTATGTAATTTAGACCTGAGAATAATCGACCTCAGAAAATCCTTTAGCTAAAACATTTAGCTTTTTGACGCTTCATATAAACTAATTTTATGGTATTAAAGACTCACCAAGGGAGTTTCAGCGTTAAACTTTGTACAAACGTGCAGTAGTCCAAGTCGTCACATTCCATATAGCACTGAAACTTGAAGAAAACAGATTTAAAAGGATTATAATAAGCAAATATATGAAAGAGAAAGACTAGTAACACGAAGATTTAATGGATCTAAGAGATTATAAAGAATAGATTTAAGCTATATATCACCAACAGTTTCCATCTGTTGGCTCTTAGGACTGCTGAGGACCTCCAACCAAACAGTCTACACCTCCTTACGTGGTTGGTTGAAACCAACTGTCAGCAACTTCATGGATTAATGTCAGGTTTTGGTTTTAATGCTTCTAATTCTTTTCCAATCTTATATTATCTAACACTGCTTGTCAGGCTGGAAAAGAGCCAGCTAGCGGTGGTCAAACCAAAACATGGCTTCACCAGTCAATGAAGTCTACAACAGTTAGTTTAAGCCAGCCAGCAACGTAGAAAGGTGTAGACTTCCTGACTAGCTGGTTGGGGTCCTTGGGACGGTAAAAACCTATGATGCGCTGGAAACAATTGGTGATATGGTTCAAAATCGTTCTCAATGGCTGGTGCAGATGCATCCACTCCTTGTGACTTATGATTTCCAATAAAACTATATTGTTCTTCGTTATTACTATTCCTTTGTCTCACACCTCTGTTTACTGTCTCTATTATGCATTTCTTCTACTTTCTTCTGTTGGTTTGTGTTCTACGTGGAGGGAGTGTGGCTACTTGAACTGGTGCACCTCGGTGGAAAGTTCTATGTCGAAAACAGACAGACAGAACACTGCTTGTCAATGGTAGACAGTTACTCGTTGTATGCAGCACATGTTATAACCATTTCAATAGATACAGCTTCACAACTTTAATGATTAATTTGCTCTCCTCACCCAACATTACGCGTAGCTTATTGAAGTCCATAAATGTCCCTATTGGATCTAACGAAACACTGTTAGCCTTGTATTCATTTTTATTGAGGTGGTTTTTTTAATGAAAAACAAACAATAACAAAAACTGAACGAAATATTCTCATATTGAATGTGATAATGACTAACTGGTTTCAACTTAGAACTTTGCACTGATGTGCAACAGATCGAGCTGCCACACTCCCTCCTTGTAGCACACAAAGCGAGAGAACAAAGTAAACGGAGGTTCAAAAGACACATAATAAACAGAAGTGTGATTGAAGAAAAAAAATAGTAATATGGAAGAACAGTAGAGTTTCATTGGATATGATAGATCACAAGGAGTAGATGCCTCTGTGCCAGCCGTTGACAACGACTAGGCAGTCAGGCAAACTACACCTCCCTAAGTGACTGGCTGGCTGGTTTAAACTCATTGTTGTGGATTTCATTAAATGATGAAGCCTTGTTGGTTTTTGTTTGACCATCACTTGCTTTCTCTTTTCCAATGTGATCCGTCCTATGTCAGTTAGCTAACACTGCTCATTGGTCGAGGAAGGCAAGCGATGGCTACGCATGAATGCGTAATACATGTCCTAACCACTTCAATCGATGCAGCCGCTTCACAGCTTCTTCGATTGATTGATTGATTGATTTCCTCTCCCACCTACCTAGCACTCGACTGAAGCCTAGCGTCAACATTACTCATCCAATTATACCACCTAACACCGGGGAAGATAAGACGCAAACACCTCTGATGAAAGACAACTAGTCAGGCTTTTCAAGTCTTCCACTTTCTTTCAATAGCCATGTCTCACTCACAGCCAGGCATAAATGAGGAGGATAGAGCGATTTGGTGGGCTGAGCGGTAAACACACCCTTTGGTTGATAGCCAGCCGGATATCACGTCTACTAAGTCAGAGATGGCGTAGGTTATTTTATTATTTTTATTGTTCCCTTGGGTTCCTGGTGGAACATAGGGCTTCAACTCCACGTCTCCCTCCACTTGCTTCCGTCTTCTATCTGCTGTACTTTTCACCTGCATCCATGTTAGTCCATACTCTTCCAACTCCTCTTCACACGATCTCCTCCATGTCACCCACCCTTGCACTGACGTCCCACTCTCCGCTTCCTTTCGGCCTGGTTCCACTCGAGAAATGGCCTGAAGTGCGAGCCATGTCACCCTGTGGCCTTCTCAGCGAGCAAGTGTCCAATCCATCTCCACTTTCTCCTGCACATTTGTTGGTTGGCGATTGGTTCTTGTTCTGTTTTGTTTGTTCCCAGCCATAGTTTTTTGTTGTTGGTGATTGTTTCCGACCCGGCCATCTGATCTTCATTCAGTATAGAGCGATAGTTGAGTTGACAGTTAGTTGTTGATAAAGGTGTGCAATAGCTAGCCAGCCTGTTGGAAATATTCTTTGTGACCCGCTCGCCCGCCAACTTTCTGATCCGATCCGTATAGAAGAACTGACTGACTTGACGTTGTTTGTATTGGAAATCCGACCGACCGAATTTTGTTGTTGATGCTGACTGAGTGACGGAGATTCCCAGATTGGTTGTTTCAGGTTGATGAATGTGTGTGTTCTCGCCTTCTGGATGATTCTTGATTTGACATACTCGTCCGTTCTGACTGCGCGTAGTTGAGATAATGCTCCGTAGATAAGTGAATGAATGAAGTAACCTCTTTCAAATCCCTCCCGTTGATGGTGATTAACGCTGGATGTTGCTGTTGTTGTTGGTTGGTTATTTTCATCACCTCCGTCTTGTCTATGTTCACTTGGAGTCCTGTCTTCTCTGGCTGCTTCTTCGACCAGTTTGTCGATTTCCGCTCGCTTGTAAGTCTTCGATTCTGTGTGACATCAAACATAAATCATCCACTCTAGAAATCCAGGTCTTCTAGGTTCTTCACTTCGGTCCATGATATCCCTGTCTTCTCGTTTCCCACTGTCTGATACATAGTCCAGTCAGTCCACCACAATTAGGAATATCATTGGTGATAGTAACTACCATTGTCTGACTCCTGTGTTTACTCCAAACACTTCGCTGAGTTTTCCGTTGTGGATAATCGAAAATGTTGAGTCATGAGACACATTTTACCAGTATCTGATTTGTCTTACGGATTCTTTGTCAAATACAATTATAATTTTACGTTTATATCTTTTTCTCATGAAAAGAAAAATAAAACAGTTATATTTTCTGCGGTTTCTGTTTATTATATTTCAATGAATTTTAGCCTGTCACTAGCTTCTACTCGTTTTCAACGGGATCCACGTACACTAGAAATTGAAGAAGAACAATGGTTTGATCAAGATGAAGAGGAAGAAGACGATGATGATGACCGCGATAATCTCTTCCCTCAACAATCATCAACACTACTGAGCAGTAGTAGTAGTGGTAGTAGAACAACAAATTCTTCAACGGCTTCAACGACTGTTGCAAATGGTTGTTTATCAAATTTATCCTCATATGGATTACAACAACATTCTGTTATGAATACTTCTGCTAATACAACAACGATAACAACTACAACTAGCAGTAGCAGTACTACTTCATCGGATTTATTAGGAATTGTTACATCAATAGATACATCACCGTCTGGTTTCGGTTCTTTATCATCCTCCACATCACCATCCTCATCCTCCTCACCATCATCAGTTGTATCGAGTAATTCTAGTCTTGATTCATGTGCTAGTGTATTGCCTCCTCATTCATCGAATTTTTCATCAAAATCTAATAATAATATTATGGATACTATAAGTGATAATTTATGTCTATCATCACGTACAACATCCTTATGTGAACGACTTCGTTTACGTACTACTCATACTACTCACACTACTACTACTAATAGTGTTCTCCTAAATGATGATAATGAATCTTCTCCTATTATCACAACACGTCTTAATTTTACACGTCATAATCCTATAGCAATACATATTAAATCATCTTCATTATGCAATAGTAGGGATCAAACTGCTGATGATTCATTTGATGAAATAAACAATAGTAATAGTCGACTGTCAGCTACAGATTCAACTACTAAAGATGCGAATCATATATCAGATACTACAGAATGCAAAGAAAATGTAACCTATTCAACAACAACATCATCATCATCATCGCCGTCAAATTCATCTGTAGTCGTTGTAACCAATTCTCTTGTTGTCAATGATACATCTCCAAAAATTAAACGTAATCATATTGATTCACAAATTGGCGGCGGTAGTGGTGATGATGATTTTGGTGATAACGATGATGAGGAATGCAGTCCAGTGGTTCAAGTGAAACGTGTAAAAAAATCGAAACAAACAATTAGTAAAACAACATTGCATAATTTTAATCAACACAACGATACAACAACATCAACAAAAACAGTTAACACAGAAGACAGTTATTCTAATGAATCTAATGAGGTAAGTCGTAATTGGTGTGAGTGTGTGTGTACGTTACGCCTTGTTTCATTCTTGTTCATATGTGCTCAAATTATGAAGTGTAACAATTATTGATGTCGTTTGAAATAAGCGTTATGTATATTATTAATTAATGCCTATTAAATTGAGCACGCATCAATGGTGGTGGTGGTGCAGTGATAGGGATGCCCACCAACCACGCATGTGGTCCGGGATTCGGTCCTGACTGTCACTTCCCCAAAACCTTCCTTAGCCAGTAAGTAGTAAGTCCGGGAAAGAGGGAAGTTTAGGCATGAGGCTAGCTAGCAACCCTACTCCGTAGAAAATACAACCACTGTTAACTGGAACTTCAAGCTTGAAGACACATATGTTCCACTTAGAATTATTAATATTATTTGTTGTTCCCTTGGGTTCCTGGTGGAACATAGGGCTTCAACTCCACGTCTCCCTCCACTTGCTTCCGTCTTCTATCTGCTGTACTTTTCACCTGCATCCATGTTAGTCCATACTCTTCCAACTCCTCTTCACACGATCTCCTCCATGTCACCCACCCTTGCACTGACGTCCCACTCTCCGCTTCCCTTTCGGCCTGGTTCCACTCGAGAAATGGCCTGAAGTGCGAGCCATGTCACCCTGTGGCCTTCTCAGCGAGCAAGTGTCCAATCCATCTCCACTTTCTCCTGCACATTTGTTGGTTGGCGATTGGTTCTTGTTCTGTTTTGTTTGTTCCCAGCCATAGTTTTTTGTTGTTGGTGATTGTTTCCGACCCGGCCATCTGATCTTCATTCAGTATAGAGCGATAGTTGAGTTGACAGTTAGTTGTTGATAAAGGTGTGCAATAGCTAGCCAGCCTGTTGGAAATATTCTTTGTGACCCGCTCGCCCGCCAACTTTCTGATCCGATCCGTATAGAAGAACTGACTGACTTGACATTTGTATTGTTCACTTAGAATGCAAAGGAATAAAATAAAAATACTATCATTCGAAACTATTCACTGTCAAATATATTGTTTTCTCGTTGATATGTGTTTGATCGTTTTGTGATTAGATTCATTTTATCGCATTGGGGTCTTCGAATGGGTTCCTCGATATTTCTATTAGATTAAGAACTTGAAGATAATTGTTTGTTTGCGGCCAGTGGTATGCTCGTTTCGTCCTGCTTGGGAGTGTCGAATTGTAGTACTCATCACCGTGAACACCAAGGCATGGCCTACTGGACCAGAAGTATCACTGTCAGTACAACATGTATACCTTAAGATTTTTATCCATGTTTCCGATTTTTTGTTGATTCGATATGAGCAGCGCATCGATGCTTATCATTGTATGAAAAAAGGGTTGCACACGAATAACAGTATCCCATAAAATAGTAGAATAAATGGAATTAAGTCTTTGCATCATGTACTAATTAGTTAACAGCATTATCTTTTTTTGTGGTTTGTTTATTGGGTGGGGGAGTTATTGCTTGGATGGACTTCCTTACTCATGCAGCCGGTCGTGCTAGGGGATTACTTCCCGAGGCATTCGGCTTGAAGTCTTATCCACCATGCAGCAAAGCAGCGTTCCGATGGCTTCCAGTGCTCGAAACAAGTTCATTCACCATTCTTATGTTTAGGATTGTAGAGCCTATATGCAGCACAAGTTTGAAATTAAACTTCCCTAACTTCCAACAGTCCGCTGATAAGCGCTGAATGTCTGCATTCGCCTTTTTATTTCTTAAGCATTTAAAATAGCGTAATTCAAAAACTTTTTCTCGTTTGTCTATTAAGTCATAATCACTACTTGAAGAATAATCATATTCGCTGGTTGTCCAAAACGAGGTGAATATCTAGCATTAATAACTGCTAATCATGAGCGTAACTACATAATTAGTGATAAAATGTAATCATATATTACTATGTCCATGCTTACGGGCTCAGGGATTCGTTTTCCTGACGATGTGTTTTTTATATTTCCTTCACGTTCCCAGTGGAACATAGGGCCTCAAGCTAGTGGCCTGAAGTCTGTGTAGCAGTGTTTAATTTTACAAGATGGAGTTGCTAGCTTCATGCCCAACCTTTCCTCTTTACCAGGGTTATTTCTGGCTTAGCGCGAGGTAAAGGAGTGCGTCGGTGTTCGGGGATCGAACCCCAGACCAATGTGCATGGTCAGCGAGCGTCTTAAACGCTGTGCCGTCTGAAGATGTGTACTGCTCTGTAAAAGAGAAGGTTTGCCGCAAAGCTAGCAGTCCTACCTCCTTAAAAAACGCCGCCACTGAAACTTCAAAGCTTAGGCCTGACGCCCCATATACATTCCAGGCCAAGTTAAACTTTCTACGCCCCTAACTACCAATCAGCGACGACGTCGAATTATCCAATGAGATTCACGAACGTAGTTCGATGTTGTATGGCGCTTGATTCATTCCTAATGTGTGACCTTTCAAGGTTACGGTTGCATTTCGAGGAGGACAGTGTTTTCCAGCAATTCCTGGATTTGGGGTTGCTCCGAAAGGAGCGAACTTGTTCGTGTGGTGGTATCATGACTTTAGAAAGCTATAGCAGATCAACTGATAAATTTGTTCATCGTTGTGCTATATGTTTGAGGCGTGCTAAAATTAGAGAGGGTAAGCTGATAATTTTAATATTTCGTAGGAACTTTTATCGCTGGATCGCATCTCTCCCTAACTTAGATTTTGTATATCTGCTACTACTGGGTGTTGAAACAGCCGATGAGAGCAGCAGTTGTCGAGATGGACAATAGCCTCGTCTCAACAGTTCAGTGGTACCAGCATTTCAGAGATATCGCTTCTTGGAAAATAGAGAAAATCACTTGTTTGCTGGGTGGATCCCATTTCAAGTAATCATACGAATTCCATTAAAGGGTTTTGGGGCCGCTTGAAAAACAGGATAAGGGCCATAAATGGATCTCAAAAGGATCCTATTTATAGTACAGGATGTGGTGTGACTTCTCCATTAACAATCCCATGCTAAACAAGGAGATGTTTCTCTCACATGTTCGTAAAAGATACCCCTTGTAACCGTTTTATCCTTTTTTATGCTTTTTTCTATAAATATACGTTTCCATTTACCATAAATGCCTCTTTAATGTGATTGGTCCGTTCAAGGTCGTTTACTGATTGGTTGTTAGTGGTGTCGAAAGTTTAACTTTGCCATATTCCAGTCGGAACGCAATGGAATAAGGAGAAAGGGGAATTCATGCATGATTTTCTCACTGGGATTAACCATTTCAAATATTAGTTTAGTTATATTTGTATAATTCTCCGCGCAACATCCTTCTTTAAACTATTCATTTCTTTTGTCTTCTAAAGGTTGTTATAGACACTGATCCATTATCTCCTATCGGTTTAGTGGATTATTCAGATGAAGAAAGTGAAGATGAAGATCAAATCAAAGAGAAAAAAGATCTCAGTCAATCTGAAGATGATAATCAAGTATCAGAGAAAACTGTCGATGAAACTTATCACAATGCATCAGATGTTTCATCTAGTCAAATTGTGACAGATGTTGCTTGATTGTACAAATTTTTGTTAAGTATTCGTTTGTTCATTCATTCCTTCCTTTCTCATTTTACCCCTTTTCCCCGTGCCCTCCCCTCCCCCCAAATACACAGACAACCGTCCCCGCCCACCGTCTCCTCCGTTAAAAAGTCACGGAACATTCAAAACGAATCATTTCTGTGCCTTTATTCTTCACAACCTTTACAGGTTTTTTTTCAATAAGTAAAATTACTGGAGAAAAACAAAAACATTGAATGGTTTCTCTAGTTAATGAAATGCAAGAAAATGGTTTTTTGTTCCGTTTGTTGTTGTTGTTTTTTTTTTTAAAAAAACCTTTTGGTCTTAACTTTTGAGATGCGCCAGCCTATTTTAATCCTTCCTGTTAAATAGTATTGTTATTATTATTACTATTAACTAGTGCGCATTGTGTACATAGAAATATGAATATTATGCGTAAGCCTTTGCACACACATATATATATATACATACATACACACACAAACGTTAAAAAGAAACCAATAATATGTGTAGAAAGTGAGAAACAGAAATGTGTTTTTTTATATTATTATTATTACTATTATTTATCTAGGCATTTGCCTTTTGTAAATGCGCTTTGTTTAATAACTCATTCACCTTGTTGTAATTGTAATCACTACCTATATATATATATATGTATATATATATATATATATGTGTGTGTGTTCAGTGGATTCTTCCTTTTCTCTTCATTCCTTTCTCTCACACTCCCTTGTCCCCGTCTCCCCACCCCCAAAAAACACCCTAGTTATTGATATACTTTGCAAGGCAAAATAAATGATTAAAGTTTGTTTGATGATGCATCTCTCAAAGTTTTGAATATATATAATACATATGTATCTGGCTGTGTTTCCAATAAACACATACACACATACCATTTGTATACACACATTACAGGCCGTACAATTAATAATCGCTCATATTGTCCTCTGCGTTTTAAACTCTCTTCTTCTGGTTGGGTGAGTGTTGTATTTTATTTCAAAAAAAGCCCGCCAGATATTTGGTGTACAATAAAAAAACAGTAATAGTTTTACGTATTTAATAAGTGAATTTAAACATCTTTTTACTGGTTCAAAGATTCGGCGTATCTAAGAGATGAAGACAATAATTACTTATGGATCAGATGTTTTTAAAAAAAATTTTTTTTATTTGAGTAGGTGCGCTTTCACTAGACGACAACAAGCTGGAGTGAGTGAGTTGTGACTTATTCATTTTAGACTGTTGACTTCTAATCACTTGGTCATAAGTCCACTCTGTGCTCTTCGCTTTCCACATAGGCTTGGCTAAACACACACAAAGAGAGAAAATCCATTGACGAGGCTATAAAGTTACATAGATTGAGATGGCTAGGTCACGTGCTGCGCATGCTTAACCATCGCCCCCCCCCACGACGGGCATTACTAGCTGATATAGGTGGAGGTTGGAAAAGAGCCAGTGGTGGCCAAACAAAAACATGGCCTCATCAATCCATGAAATCCTTGACAGTTGAAATGTGTCAGGTAAGGAGATAAAGACTTTCGGGGTTGGGACCCTAAGAATCAGTGGCTGGAGACAATAGGTGACATGGCTCAAAATTGTTGTCAATGGCAAGAGCAGATGTATTCAGTCCCTGTAATCTTTCATATTCCTTTCTACCATTACCCATTCTGTTTCACTCTTATACTTGTGAAACTCTATTCATTCTCTCCACTCATCTTTTTGTCTACCTTTGTGTGCTATTTGGAACGTGGTAACTCGAAGTGCTGCACTTCGGTGCCAAGTTCTATGTTGGATCCAGACAGACACACACACACAATAGGGGTGGTTCATAAGCAAGTGCATAGAATTGCAAGTGGTTGATGCTGAGTGAAGTTTCTTGTTGTTTTTCACACCACACAAGGAGTGTTGGATGTGTTCTAATTCAGGAGTTTATATATATATATATATATATATATATGTTTTCGGGATAGAACTTTGCACAGATATGCGCCAGTTCAAGTAGCCACACTCCCTCCACGTAGAACACAAACCGACAGAAGAAAGTAGAAGAAATGCATAATAGAGACAGTAAACAGAGGTGTGAGACAAAGGAATAGTAATAATGAAGAACAATATAGTTCCACTAGAAATCATAAGTCACAGGGAGTGGATACATCGGCGCCAGTCATTGAGAACGATTTTGAGCCATATCACCGATTGTCTCCAGTCTTGATTGGTTTTTACCATCCGAGGACCCCAACCAGCCAGTCAGGAAGTCTACACCTTCTTACTTGGCTGGCCTAAACTAAATATTGTGGATTTCATTGACTGGCGAAGCCATGTTTTGGTTTTACCGCCACTAACCTGACCCTATGTCAGTCATCCAACATTGCTCGTTGTCGAGGAAGGCGATGACTAGACAAGCATACGTAACACATGTCCTAACCATCTCAGTCGATGTAGTTTCACAGCCTCGTCGATTGATTTCCCCTCCCACCTACCTAGCACTCGATCGAGGCTTAACCTCAATATTGCTCACCCTATCACACCTACAACTTCACACGGGAGATAGAACGCAGGCACGTATGATAGAAGACAACTAGCCACTGTTTTCATGTCTTCCACTCCCAATGGCCAGGTCTCACAGCTGGCCATAAAGGAGGACGGAGCGGAATATATATATATATATATCTGCATACTTGAATAAATTACTGGTAAAAATGTAACCGTCGCTTTAATAAAGTTGCGCAGTAGTTTCAAAGGTAGGTAGATTGATTTCAACACCCAAAATGAAACATTACTTACTGGACATGTTTAGTTCACATTCAAAGTGCATGCCATCTAAGACTCATTCCTGTGGAGATCTAGAATTTAATATCTGGTCAGCAGTACTGATCCCGGTGGGCTTTCACCATGATGATGAGGAGCGAAAGCTGACCATATTTTTTCACAACGACCATAAACAATATTTAGTGAAAAAAGCTAAATAGATGGAGATGATATCATAGGTAGATAAAACCAGACACATATATTTAGGCTTATTAAGGAAAGGCAAATGTGATAAGAGAGACAATCTCTGGGAAAGGGCTTCCTTAATTTAGCTGTCAGAATACAACAGTGATTGATATGTTGGAAAGAACACTTGTAAGGAACAATTTAACTGGCCTATGTAGCCACGCTCAATTTACCTAGCGTCCCCAACACCCTACCTGAATAGAATGTTGACATTGATCCTCTCGTTGCAACTGAAGTTGCAAAAGCTGTCTCAAACTTGGAGCGAGGCAAAAGGTCAAGACCTGGGGGAATAACTCCAGAGTTGTTCAAGGACAGTGGTGATCAACTGTTCTCTCCATTAACTAAGATATTGCGTAGTTTCTTGAAATCAAAGATAGTCCTGTTGTACTGATGAATATCACTGATTATCCTAGTTTATCCTAAAAAGGGGTCAAGTCCTGTAGTAATCATAGTTTGACTAACACAGAATCTACAATTCTGGTTTCAATAATTATGTGTAGACTAAGCAGTGTTCAGGAGAAGTAAACTCGGGAAGACCAGGCAGATTTTAAGCGTAAAGCGTTGATCACAATCTTCACCCTTTTTGGAAAATAGGTATACTTATCGGAGTCCAAAACTTGCAACATTTCATGACCTGAAGGCAGCATATGACTGCCTGTCGAGTGGCGTAGTTTCTCTGTGAAGAGAGTGCTGACAGAGTAAATCACAAGGGTGTCCTACACAGATGCCTGGTGTCCCCATTTCGGTTTACTTTCGTTATAGATGTACTAATTGGTGGTGGGATTCTATTCGACTTTAGGGACTCAGGGGCTGACATCTTACCACGGCATAGTCTAGTCGGCTATTGTAGGGATTACGAATGATATCGTCCTCTTAGGTAAAAAGGCTTAAAAATGCAGTCTTTTAAGGATTTTGATTAGAAAGCTTCAGAAGTTAGTGCTGTAGGACTGGTCTGAAAGGAGTAGTATTTCAGTAGTGGGCATCAAGGGACATGAGGGTGTTGTTGAGCACTTCACTTATTTAGGAAGTTGTGTTGGCCCTAATAGACTGTTCGCTGATGAAATCTCACCTCATTTGTAGCAATAGCCAACATACGTCATCTTTGGCTTAGACGAGATGTCTGGCTATCGAATCAAAAGACGTGTACTTTGCGCAACAGTTCCCTCTGTCCTCCTTTATGACTATGAAAATGGAGATATTTAATGGTTAGTTAACTTTGACAACGGGTGTTGTTGACTGATATATCATGAAGAGTGATACTGAAATTAGCGGGTAGTCTAAGGTGGTAAGCTAGAGAAATCAATCGACGAGGCTGTGAACCTGAATCGATTGAAGCCGCTAGAACACGTGCTACGTATGCCGATCTATCCCCTTTGTCGTTGAACAACGTTAACTGGTTGGAAAAGATTTTTAGGTAGTCCACTCAAAATCTGAGATCGGCCTGTGAAGTCTTTGGTAGTCGGTTGGTTTGAGCTAATCATGTCAAGAGGTGTGGATTGGTCTTGTTTGAGTCTTCGGGATGCTAAGAACCAAAGCTTGAGAGACCTGGTGATGTGACTCAAAATCTTTGTCAGTGGCCACAGATGCATACACACTCTTTTTGATCTGACGTATTCATTTAGTCCTTGTGCTTTTCCGTGTTACTGTTCTTTCTTCCATACATCTTCGCTACTTATAGTTCTTTTGGATTTCTTTAGTCTACATTGTCGGCTACATGGGGGATGTGGCAAGTTGAACTGCTACACTCGTGTACAAAGCTGTACGCAGAATGCATTCAGTTATCAAAGCAAGTTTGTGAAGAAGACCTTTGGAAGCAATCATTTCGGCCATTTTTGTTAATGGCGAAGAATCCTTAACGAAATATTTTGATAATTATTAGTGAATGACCACTCCATCAAGGAGTGTTTCCTTTTAGTACCTTTAGATGGACATGCTCTGCTGTATATAATTTGAAAATGTAACTAATGTTGTCAAGATTTTGGAATGATTGTGATTTGTAG